ATCCGGCTTTGAGGGCTTGTGCATATCAATTTTTTTAAATTCTATTTCCCGTTTTTGCGGTTTATTCTGTTCTGCCGCGAGTTCAATAGAAATTCCGTCGTCAATTACAATCAGCGTTTGTGCAACAGTTTCGTTTATTATTTTAATAAAAATCCGAGCGGGGTACATGTGAAACTGTCTCTCGGGAGTACGTTCCCTTCGAATCTTCTTGTTGCTTCTTTCCCACTTCTTGCTGCGAGAGGAAATAAATCGTGCAGTTAGTAGCTCGCACGTATGACGTACTATCTTGAATATGCGCATACATCGTAAGATGCGTGCGTATTCTAGGAATCGCTTACTGCCGCGATCCGTCGCTGCGCGAGCTCGTCTTCTCGTAATTGGTTTCTTCCTTTATTTTCCTCCTCTTCTAAATCTCCGCTCGATTACAATTCTTTTTTTTCCACCGCCGGATACCGCAGCGCTGACCTGACCGGTGCGGCTCGCGCACATTTTCGCGCATTACGAAAAATCTTTTTCGCGCGCGATAACATCTCGCTATACGCGTTTTCGCGCCCCAACACGCTCGCGGAAAGCGTATCTCGCTAAGTGTCTCACAAAGAGACACTTGGTACTTATCGTAACTCTTTCACGAAACGTACAATTTTACCCGATCGCGAGGTAAGTTTAGAGCTGCGACGATTATTTCAAAGTATATAAAGCAAATTATATAATATGAAAAATAAGCTGCGCAAGTACTTATTCCAAGGGGATAATCACTTAATGTAATCACGGGACAGCGTCTCCGAAATCATTATGAAATCCTTACGAAATCTCCATGTAATCGTTTTGCCTTCATTTTCAAATTTCTTCACTTGTTAGAGAATGAACATTAAATTTGAACATTTTCTCAACTTGTTTTTATTTTCCCAAAAAATTTACTTTTTTTTTAGAGAATATCCAAATATATATCGTAGTTCACGTCTATAAGCGCGTATTATTTTTTTTCATAATAAGACTGCAGTATTCGATACACTTTTGCGCGCAAATTTAGAACAATAAACAGTAGATACAAATACAAAGTTACTTCTCGTTAAGAGCACGGTTAGACTGGTGGGAAAAATGAGAAACAAGAAAACACGTTTTCTACAATCTCAATTGAAATTACCTCTACAAGCAAATACTTATTAGTAAAATCACATATAGTGTTTTGAGGAAATCTAACGGCTCGTAACAATGTCGCCTATTTTTAAACGTGCATACCCCCATGAGAAAATATACATATATCATATATATTTTAAAATATATGTGTTACATAAATTGCACATATATAGAAAATATTTCTACATATATATATTCTTGAGTAGAGTAAAAATATACCTTCTTTACTTATATTCATCATATATTTTAAACGGCAAAAAATGATTTAATTTTATATATGCAGGCATATATTTCATATATATTCTAATATTTCCAATATCTATTTTATATATTAGATTATGTATTAAAAATATATTTTGCATATTTCATTACTTTTTCATGGGGGTATAAAAAAATTATTTGTAATCAGATGAAATCGTGTGAAATGTAATGAAATCGTGTAATCGGTGGGACAACATTTTAGCTAGCGGTTATCCCCTTGACTTATTCATACTTCTGTTAATAGCGCGATACGAGACATATTACTAGAACAAAGCACACCTCTCGCAGTTGACGCCGAAGTATTCTACTCTGCTGTAGAAATGAAAATGCGAAAGAGATGTTACTGAAGTTCCTGATGAAATTCTCGCGTAGACGAGAATTAAGGTACGTCTTAACGGTAAAGGTCAAGCCTCGGGACTTCCTAGTTGTCGCCTGTAAAAGGTTTTTCTCTCGCGCCGTCATAGCGCGCTCCTCGTGGTCTCCCTTTACTACCGCGGCGCGTTATTCTTCCACGAACACGCCTCATCTTGGAGCTAACAAACGAGCTTGCCAACTGGTCCTCGTAGGAGAGATGACGCATATACTCCTTCCTGGTCGGCCCTTTTCTATTACAAGACGAAGTGGAAGCGACAAGAAGAGGTGGAGAGGGTTCTAATCAAGGTGGCTTGCTGGAACTTCTAACTCCTTTCGCTCGGAACGAGATGTCGAGTTCCAGGTACGTCGATCCCGCGTACCACGCTGCAGTAAGCTAAAGCCCTAAGGAAGATTATAGGGTGTCTGCATAGAGATGGTCCGAGTTTGCTGCAGTAGTGATACCGAGAGCCTCTCGGTGGAGAGTGATTTTCGGGGATAAGCCTGAGCAAGGTCGTAAAATTTGTCGATTAAATAATTTGAAGACTCGTCGGAACTTTGCAAAACTAGTTTCGACTTTCTTACGGCGCGCCACGACGTAATCGCGGTCTCCGCGGCGAAACTCCCTCACGCACGAGCGCGAGCCGTCCACGTTATGCGCGAAAATAGCGTTCTCCCATAAAGTTATCTGTATTCCGATAGCAGATACAAGAATCCTTAGTGCGCACCAGTAGTCGGGACAATTGATCTAGTACGTTATTCTAAGGGATTTTAAAGTATCGCGATTCAATAATCCAGAACTCGCCAATTTTCCTAAGTGCGACAAACACTTGACGCGGGAAACTTTGTCGGAAGACGAATCAGCATCAGTGAAGCGATGGGGAGAGGAGGAGGAAAAAAAAAGATAGCGGTACGAGCGATGGAGCGTGCGCTAAAGGGTGTCCCGAACGACGATGGTCAAACGTAATCCCTCGGAATGGTCGGAATCGCGGCATTAAGCGAAACCCTCGGTGGTTCGTGGCCGCATGTCGAGACTTCTGGCCGGTCGTTCGGCTTCGGGGACGCCGGGTGTGAGAATAGGACGGTGGCTGGATGTTGAATAGGCGCCGTTACAGAAGGTAATGCGTGTACGGCGAGGACCCCGAGGAGACGGCGGGGGCGGAGGAGGGACAGGGAGAGGAGAAGCGAGGCGGCGGAGCCAAGGTGTTAACATTTGCTTTATAGCGGCCGCTCTACAGCCGGGCGATGGTTTAATACTTGTGTGTCGCACGAGCGGCACACAAACACCACCGCGAAGCGACCGCGGTGGCGCTCACCTGGCGCGCGTATTAAAGGGACACGGAGTATATATTCGCCGTAACGCCAGCCCGTTAAACACCGAAATGATCCGCGCTCCGGTAGCCGCGCACGTGCGTTATTCGTCGATACATTGTTGATACACTGTTGAGGTTCAAGAATAAATTAACGTTCATTATAGGCTTTTAATATTCATTAAAAAGAAATGGCTATTGAAAATTTATTTATTTGCTCTTTCGTTAATATTTATAGGAAAGTCCCCTATTATGAGATAGCGCGGTTTCTGTTAAATGAACAAGCGTCGTCTATATGAATTTATTGCTCTTGAAGTGAGATCTGTTTAGTGGAAAATTCATTGTTAGATCGTGTAATCGTCGCGAAAAAAGATTTGTCATTGAATTTGGACGTTGAAAACCTGCTATCTCACTTTAGAAGCCTATCTCCTAATAGGGAGCTTTCTTCTAATAATTCTCGTCTACGAGGGAATTTCATCAGAAACCTCAGTAACATGTCTTTCGCATTTTTATTTTGATCTATCTACAGCAGAGTGGAACACTCCTCGTGATCTGCGAGAGGTGCGCTTTGTTCTGGCGCTGTATTTCGTATCACGCTCCTAAGAAAAATATGAAAAAATTACCTTCTCGTAATAGAGTTGTCTCAGATCAAGCCAAGTATCCACGTACGCACGCCCAGATGGTAGAAAAGTGTACTTTTATGCGCCACATGTTTCTCAATGTATTGTCAGAAACGGCGTAATAAAACGTTAAAGCTTATCGACTCGCTGATATCTGTGTATTTTAATTTTATGATATCTCGTGTTAACGCGCGTATAGACCGCGCTCCCATATGTCGGCATTGCAGAAATATACGATGTGTACCAGCGCTATATAATGGAGGCCCGTTAAATAGCGAAATGACCGGCGGGTTCATATACATTGCTATGAGATGTTAATACGACACCCGTTGTCGGGCCAACGAGCGCGCGTCTCTTCCTTCTAACCCGTTTGCTTCTCCCTTTTCAGCTCGCAAACGCCTCGCGGCTCGTCCCGCTTCTTTTCTCTCGCGTTTTCGATCCGCTCTGCCTGGTCTCCTCCGCGTTGGGCCACGCTCCTTCATTTTATAGTTATGCAGCGAGGACACTTTTACTATGACCGCGTGAACATTTCGCGGTTCCGGCTCGCGGCGAGCGCTTTTATTGCCGGAGGGTGTTTTTACTCCCGAATACGCTATCCTTTATTTATTACGAAACGGTCACGCTGCGGGGAAAAATAGCGTATCACGCGTCAAGAATGAGCAAGTCGAAAAGTCTAAGCCAGCGTTTTAGAGAGTAAATTTATGTCGATCGTCAGATCGATCTAAATAATTTCGCGATAAAGAACTAAGTGAAAAGATCATTTAGATGGATAGATACATTACTCGAAAATGACTTACGAGTCTGAGAGCAAAAGGCGATTATGCTCGATTGTAAATGCGGATGAGCTCCTTTCTCTTTGAATCATTATTATCGCAGTCCAATCTGCGCAATACCCCATAGCGGACAGTGTAAAAAATTTCTCACACAAAACACATGTCCAACTCATAACTTCTGTGCGATGTTTGTTCCGCAAGTATTACTTAATTCTTAGATATCGTAATATTTCTCTAATGTTACTACTTTTCACACGATTTGGCATAATAAATTTCAAGAAAATTAATAAATTACAAACTTTCGTCAAAAATATCAAGTAATTTTAACAAGTTTACTAAATTAAACCGTCGATCTACCTGCGTACTTTTGCACCTACTAAAAAAATGTATGCTTCAACCGGTTGTATGTTAAAAATTCTGTAGCTCCCAAATTTGTGAAATGAATGTCTATAAACTATGGACGAAAGTCTTGGAACGTAAGTTGGTACAAGATATGGCACGTCTCGTAATTTTAGTCAAAAAAATTAACAGATAAAATTGTCACTTACTTTGTGTAGAAGCCTTCTTTGCAATGCAAACAGATGAAGCTCCGCCGACGGCCGGTTTTGTCGAGAGATTTCGACGAAATATTGCATATCCTCTGGTGAATGACGAGATGCGATCGCCTGGAGAACGAGATCGAACACTTGACGCACGGGAAGGGCTTCTCCCCCGTATGCTGCCTGATGTGATTCCGCAGCGACGTTTTCGGGAAAGCTTTCGCGCAACTCGGGCACTTATATTTCGGCAACAATTTGCTCGAGCCGGACGCCCCTTTGTCCGTATCTTGAACGGCACCGGCGTGCAGGGCCTCGTGAAAAATAAATTCGGCCTTGGAGCCAGTCGAGAAAATGCAAACCTTGCACTTCCATTTGTTCTCCGCGCTTTCCGCCTCAGCCGCGTCCGACTTATCGTTCTTGAGACAATTACCCTCTCGCGTGTGCCTGGTGACGTCTTGCGACAGGGCGAAAAGCATGCCGCATCGAGGACATCTGATCGAAAAGGTTACGAAATACGGCATTAAAGCTATATGCGAGGTGTCCAATGTTACAAATTATACACGAGATTTGTGCATCAAGATATGCTCAATTGTTAAAGAAGAAATTTGCAACGCCTTGAAAATATTATATAATTAAAAACGATATAGTTCTTGCTCTATTCTACAAATGAAAGAATTACGATGGCAATGTCGCGCAACTTGTTAGGTGAATAATTTGCCAGCGCAGAACACGGTAAATTACCTGTGGCAAATTTCCGGATGGCACAGAAGGAGATGACTCTTGTGCGCCGCGAGATTCGGCTGCTTCCGGTCGCAGTGAGGGCACTCCCGCACTGTCTCCAGCAGACCCTCCTCACTCTTGCGCGCTTTCACAGCTTCCTTGTGACTAGAGGTTCTCCGATGCAGAACCGCTTCTTGGGCGGTGGTGAAGTTCATCGAGCAGAAGGAACAGAAGTACGGCGCCGGCCGCTCGGCCGCCGCGACCTCGCCCTTTTCCTCGTCCTTGGCGACGTGACTGGTCAGCACGTGACGTTGAAGCGCGACCAGGGAACGGACGACTTGGGGGCATAGATCGCATTTGATACGCTGCTGATACGCGTCCGACGCGGTGTGACTTGCGGTGTGACCGGTCTCTTTGGCGTGCAACCGCAGCTGGAAGTTGTATCGGAATTGCCGATCGCAACTGCCGCAGGCTAACGTACGTTGACGACTAATTACCACCGGCACGGAGCCCTTCATCATCGATACAACGTCACGATGACTCGTACTGAGAAGGTGAGACTCCATTGTCGTGTTGTCTTCGCACCAGAAGTTGCACGGAGTGCATCGGCAACTACCGCCGATCTGAGAGGGAAGAGAAAGGAAAAAGTTACGAGGAGTCCCTCTCTCTCTCTTTCTGTGCAACTGTACGTCCGGATGCACGAGTCAATTAAGTCCGTTTTATTCGTTTCTCATCTATTTAATGTTCGACGAGTAATGACTCGTCGACAGGTGCAGGAATCGTACGCGTGATTGTGCATAATACGCGCATGCGATGCGGACAAAAACGCGGATACGCCGATTTTAATCTTGACCCGAAAAGTCCTTTGGCGCCTGCCTTCGATTAACGCGCGGCCACTCACCTGTTCTACGGTCTCGGAGTGAAGATCAGACCGCCAATGAAGTAGGAACGTGTCCTCGGTGTTGCAGTAAAAGCGACAAGGGGCGCACTGGAAGGGGCTCTGTCGAACCACGTTCGCTATGTGCTCCAGAAGGAAACGGCGTACATTTGGATTGCGAGGATTCACGAGGACACCTGACACACGGCAATGGTAATGGGAGAGCAAATGTTTACCCATTTGAGGCCTCCTCACGCGCGCGCGGCACATCTCGCAGAGAAGAATCTCCTTCTCTCTTCGGCGCAGACCTTTCTTAACTTTCTTCGGCTCGGGCTCCTCTTTCGTCCTCTGATAACACAGCGTGACTTAACTGGGCAGTTTGCATTAGAGATTTTTAAAAATTGTCGCGTCCGCGCCGTTCGGAGAACTGCTGTTGTTATTTACATTTGAAAATATATTTTCGCTTCCACGGTGCTTTCTGAAGAGTCAACGTCGCGCGATATTTTTGAAACGCAATGCGCATTATCTCGTAAGAAATCGAACAAAGTTTTCTTAAATCTTTATGTGCCTTAAGTAAGAAACGCGCAGCTTCGAGCGGTCTTTCAGTCGCAATTTTATCGGATCTCATTAACTTTAGAAACTTTTTTCAAAGAAAAATGCTAATAAAATAAGGATAAAATTGTAATCGCCGCTGGTAACTAATAATTAATTCATAGAAATAATTTCTTATCTAACGGGATAAAATTCATATTATTTCTTATCTAACAGAAGAAGAGCATTATTTTCTAAATAAGCAAACAGAAGTTCAAACTGTTGATTTTAATCACGCGTAACAGGTTATTAAGGAGACCATTACCGTCGTAAACGAGGACTGCCTACGAGTGGACACTCTTCTGGATACTCTCGCGTGCGAATTTATTCCGCGCCGTAGAGGGAGACCGTCGTCGAGCTCCTTAATGCTCCTCCTGGCGTGCAAATCAGAGAGCAGATGCCTGTTGTAGACCAATCGTGAGGCGAGCTTCCTGCCGCAAGGATTGCACCAATATCCCGACTCGATATCCGTTCGTGCACCCGGTACCCATTTCCCTCGCGTGTGTCCTGGCGGCGGCTGTCCGGAGGTGTCCTTGCTTTCGTATTCCTCGACCTTCTGTAATGGTCGATGTCTCTTTGTTCAACAAATCGTCATCGCTCGCGCGAGGTCGCGTACGCTCGTGGAATCACACTGCATATCGGACGCACGGCCGATACGCAGAATGACTCTCGAGAATCGAATTAAATTTCGGTTAAAAAGTCGCGCGTCAACTTGGTTTCTCCGTCGCGTTTGATTTATATTTTCCTGGGGCAACTGTTACTCGTGTGCTCCAAGTGAAAATGCTTTCGAACTATACAATTTAAACTACGAAATTTCCCATGTTCCTGAAATAAATCTTTTTTTTTTCTTCCCTCTTACTTGCGACGTCTCCGCGGGTCGCCATTTGCCGCCGGTATACGTCGGCGGTGGATGTTCCTGATGATCGTCGTCCTCCTCATGCATATGCGGCATGTCCTGCGGCAAATCGTCGAGTCCGGGCTTCCACTTTCCGCCGGTGTGATCACGCGGCGGGCGCTCCCGATTTTCGCCGTCATCCGAATCTGAATAGGAATCCACCTCCAATTCCTCCTCCAGCATGTCGTCCTCGGAGTCATCGTACTCGAAGTCGTATCTCGCCAGCTCCTTGTTCGCGCTATTCCCCAAAGCAAGGTCGGCGAGAATAGTATCATCCAGCCAACTCTGCTGATTCTCGTGCCTCTTGCGTTCGAGAGCGGTCTGCTTGAGGGACTGGATGCACAGATCCGGTGGCTCGTCCAGATCGCTGACGGCGGGTAACATACTGTTAAGCTTATCCTTCGTCTCGTCACCATCCACCTGGCCTTTCTGGTCCTTCTTCCTCTTGTCATCTTTCTTGAACTTTCGACTGTTGTCCAACAAAGTCGGCGCACGGCGAGCGTTGCTCTGTAATTCCAGCGAGCTGAAGAACGCGTCCGCGTTCAGGATCTCGGGATAGGACACCGTCGTCGGCGTCGACGGTGGCTCGTGAACAATCTCGATTTTAACGTTGGACGGCCGGCAGCTCGACCGACGGTGCCGCACATAATTGTCGAGCCCGTGGATTGTCAAGTTACACTTGATGCAGAAGTGGGTGTCGTCGTCTTCCTCGTAGCCTTCCATTGCTCGGGCTCGGATGAAACTGCGGTGAAAGAACAAAAGAACAAAACTTTTCTCTTGTCTTTACTCAGTTCGTCACTCAGTGGAATGGTATTGGCCAAATGATTGACTAATGACACAGTGATTATTACTAAGGTATGAATTTATAGTTGATTTACGATAGGCCTTCAGCATTGTTATATAAATTTGCAATTTGCGATTTCAGATCACTTGAAAAGGGCCCAAACCCGGAGCCGAAACGTTGCAATTGGTTTTTAAATAAAAACATTGGCCAGTGTAGGTCGTTGAATCTTATGAAATTTGGTTTCAAATTACTGGCGATATATATAATTACCACTTTTGTTTATTTCTTAGTCACTAACAAATTAGTTGGAGCCCAGCAACCACAGTGCTCACACGTATGCATATATTTTATAACTCTACTCTGTCTTATTCCACGACGATGACTGACTTAATATCACTCGAAAAGGACCCAAACGAATAGAGTCAAACCGTTGTGTAATAAACTAATAAAATAACTAGCCAGTTGGGTTGACTAATAAGTTTCCCGTCTCAATTTTGAATCATTACTGGTGACAATAAGCAAACTCGAATTTCGATTATATTGTAAATTATAGATATATAAATTTTTTTTTCAGACTTATTTCATCTCGTTTCCTAATATGACAGCAGGAATTCATTTGCTCGCGGTTTCGAGCGCGTGCACCATCGCGAAGTGAATTCGAGAACCGTTTAGCCGTCATACCCTGATCACGCGTCACGCAACAACCGCGTCATGGACAGCTCGCTGAGGACAATCGCGTTAGCGAACCGCAGTGGGCAAATTGAAGGTCCGATATTCGCGCAGCAGAAGGGAAACAAGTTGACGCTTCGTGCGGGGCAGGAAGATCGGTCGATGCCGCTTGGCCGTTATTCGGACGACGACACTTCGCCTCCCAGTCCTGGCCGCCCCTCTGCATCCCCCGCCGGGTCTCTCCCTTTTCGCCGCGTCCCCCCCTTTCCCACCGTGCAGCCCGTGCGCGTCCTCCGCATCACCCCCGCCCTTGTTGCGCCCTTTCTGTTTCCCCTTTCCGAAGTCTGCAAACCGGCAGCGACCTCGTGGCTCCGTCTCTCGTCTTATTAAGCGGAGAAAACTAGCGAATGAAATTTCCATCCGGCTCCGAAACACGGCTCGTCGGTGTCGTCTCGTTTTGCTCCTCTCTCTCTCTCTCTCTCTCTCTCTCTCTCTCTCTCTCTCTCTCTCTCCCCCCCCTTCCTCTTTCTTTCTCTCTGCCGATCGACTAATATCCCGGCTCCGGATCCCGGTTTCGTCGTCGTTCGTAGTTTACTTTTGACGTGACCAAAATTCGATTTGCATATAGTCGGGAAGTTGCAAAAATGTTTCCGTTACGACGTAACCAACTTAGCGCCCGGGTTAACCGCCCTCGATCGGATGTTGGGTATCACGCGTGGCCGCATAACAGAAGGGATCCGAACGAGCGCCCTCCGTGGATTATTCCCCTGTTGTCGATATACCTTTAAAGAGCAAACTTCGGATCAAATTCCACGGGGAATTTTTTGCAATTCGTTCTCCCGATATCAGATACTCTGTAACGGAAACCGTTGAAGCAAGACACTGCGTTGTAACCTTATTACTCGCAGCAACTGTAATATTTGATAATTCTTTCTAGTTCAAGATACCTCTTGGCATTTTACATAAATTTGATACACCGTACGCGGCGTATTCGGCAACGTTCCACGTTTGAAAGGATGAATTTGCAAATTTATTACACGACGTATTTTCACCGGCAACAAGAAACAATGCAAATTGCTAGTTGAAAAACTCGCAAGCTCGAATCAATTTCTCAGACAATTGGTTCATCGGGCAGTTAATTTAGAAATTTTCTCCCGATGACAACAATGAAACCCGATTCATCAAAGATTGCCTTAAGAATGACGGCGGGACGTACCGTATATTCGCGATAATCGCGTAACTAATGGATCGGGCGATTGCGATGTCGACCGTAAGCAAAACTAACTCGATAAATCAAAATAAAGAGGCCTTAATAAGAACCACGAATAGCGGCGGATTAGAGATCCCTCGAAACCCGAGCGATTCCGCGCAAATCCGTCGTGTCACGTATGTAACACGTGTGCGACATTAATAAGGAGGACGATTGCCACGAGTATCGCGGATAAAGCGGACGGCCAGATTCACGCCGAGATTTACGGGTGTTTGCCGAAAAAACAAGGACGGCCGTTAATTGGGTAATGTCCGCGCGAACGTGGCTGAGGAGCCGATACGTCAATGTAATATCCATGGTCGTAGCGCTTCCTATAGTGCTGCTTCGTTGTCGTCGTTGATCGAGGATCGTCGATGAGTAATCCCTAATTACCGATCGCGGTGCGGAAAAAGGACGCGCACCTGCTGCCAACGATGTACGTGTAAACGCGAGATTGCCCCTCGAAACCATCTCACGTGATCTAATCGTGAAGAGCGCGGGGGGAGGGGGGGGGAGACGCGAGAAATAAATAATACTTGTTGATAGAACGTAGTTTGCCGCATGATTCGATACCAATTTACCGCAATAGCGTATTATTACAGGACGTTACTGTGTCAGAAATAATATACGCAGATTTTTTTCACGGCTCTGCATTATATATTGGTCTATAATTTTCTCCCCCTAATCGATAATTTTCGTCTCCATAACTTTGACTTCTACACAGATGGATGTACGAAGGAGGGAAAATAGTACAGTATAAAATGATTGTATATTATATGAATATCATAAACAGAGAGATATACGCCATACACATAATTATTCCAACGATAGATATTTTATATTTTACACCGAAGTCCAATACTGTTATTCCGTTAGCACAGATGATACTTTATTAGAATAATTAACTGTTTGTACAGTATATTGATCGCAATTGTACTAAATTTACATTGTTAAAACAATGTTTATCGAACTATCCAATCGAATTATTCTTAAATCGCGATATTATTTTATTTATTAAAATCTATATTCCCTGTGGACAAAGAGGACGTATGGAAGAAATTTTAAGCGGCGTAGAATAAAATAGCAGAAACAACAGTGAAATTAATTTCAACAAACGCAAAGAGTTTGCAAAGCAGTAATCAAAGCAACGAGTGCGCATACTGATGAATATTATTTAAATGAGAATTAATGAATAATCCTTTAATTAAATATTATTATACTATAACCTATAGTCTATAAGCTCATCATTTGCAATTATTCTTATCAATAAATATTACTTTTCCCGGATCGTAATCCTCTATGCCTCGTTAACTCTTCAAGTTTCGAATAAAATTACGAGCGGCAGTGTATATCCCAGCATTTTAATAGCGCCGTAAAATTAAAAAGCGTCACTGTAAAAGAACGGATTACTTCATAGAATAACACATTCTATGGCTGCAACTAGCAACGCGATTCGCTAAAATAAAAAGATCAGCGCGATATATCCGTGGGGACCAATATCTATCGCGCCTTCGATCATCATCGCTAATCTGGCCGGAATGATCGAGGGTGCCGCACCCACCCTCGCTCTTAATGCCCGCTATAATTAACAATAATCAGATCCCTCGAACACGAGTGCGTCGGCCTCGCGCCGAGCCCGTCACCGAAATCGAAGTCCGAATAGAGCGAGCGAAAGACGACGGCGACGACGAAGACGACGGAGAGAAGGATCCTTGCGGGACTCGTCGAACGAAATTAGACGATCCCGAACCGAAGCCGTAAGCGACCACGGGCTCTATTCCCGCAGACTCTCTTAACCTCCTTTTCATCGCTCTCCTCCTCGCCCCGGCTCGAGAACGATGAGATCCACCGAGTGATCGTATGAAATCGACCGAATCTCCCTAACGTAATTCTGCTCGACTTGTTTGTATCTGCAAGAGGAACGGCGGACGTTCGGTTCTCTCTCTGCCTCCAATTACAATTTCCGGCGAGCCATTTATTGTCCCGTTTCGATCTTTCGCCGTTAGGACTGGAGGTTCGATCGGAATGATACGCGAGGATCGATCCTTTTCAATTTCTGACTTGGTCGCGTAACGCTCCTCCTCCAATTTACGTTCAATCATCATTACGCGTGCTCTGTCTGGAGAAATTTAATTTTAAACTTTGTCACGTAACGAACGTTCGAAAATTATTTATATTCACGTGTCAAGTCACGAGATCGGATGTTCGAGGCAAATTTTTCTATAGTGCGACGACTCAATAGACGTAAGAAACATTTTTCTTCATTGATAATTTCCGCCGGACTTGAATATCCCAACGTAAACGAAAGACGCTGCGCTGGTGTCTCAATTTCTGAGCTTGTTTATTGCCGGCGCGGGGAGAGAAGCGGTCTTGGACAAAGGGCCGCGTATCGGACGGACGGGTGGTGTCCGAGAGCTGGTTACGCCGCAAGTACCATTCAATGTTTCGTACATTCGCTAAGAAGTGGCGAGTACACCCTTTCGACTTCGGTCGTCCGAGGCATACCAACTAGGTGACCCTTGCGTAGGGTCAACCGAGGACCCGGAAACTGTAGCAAGGTGAGCTCGCCGCATGCGAGCGTCCGGCAAGCGGGGGAGGAGGAAGGGGGCCTGCTTGCCTGAGAAGGGACGTGGACCGGAGGTAGACGCAGGGGGATGCAAGGTCCGGGGAATATTGAGCCGCTCCGTTAATGTTTATAACGACGTTAGACGTTGGTGTCCCCGACGCGCGTGTATAGGTGCCACGGGATAGGTAGAGAGGTGGCTTCGGCCACCCTTCGCCGTAGCCACTGTCTCTTTTTCTCCCCAGGCCCACCGCTCTCGCTCTCCCGTCTCTCTTTCTCCCTTTCTCACTCCGTCACTCTCTTACTCTCTCACTCTCTCTCTCTCTCTTTCTCTCTCCCTCTTTCTCTTTCTCCTCCTCGCAACGGTGGCGGCGGCAGTGGCAGCGCCGGCAGCAGGACAGGAACTGACATAAGCGCGCGAGTGTGTATGTAGAGCACGTACTCGGGGGCTCTCCAGTTCGACGGAGTAGGTGGAGG